AGACACAGTGACTACACTACACTGCTTTCTAAAAGTAATCCCACACTTCTTTCAGACAATCTTTAAGCATGTCTGAAACACATTTCATATTCACCTCTTCCTCCTGAAACTTGCAAAACAAAACTACTGTCACTTCATTGATTGATCTACAATTCAAGAAACATGATGTTTTGAAAGATATACATGTTACCTTCAGTAGTTTAGTGCTTAAAGTTTTTAGTTTGAGATATACTTCCCTTGAGGTTCCTCCAATTCCAGTTCTGAAATCAAATCGATCCGCCTCACGGACTTGAAGCCTGGGCTTGGATATGTAGTTGCTACGGTATGCCAAACACCGCAAACGCTATCGCGCAGGAAGATTTCCCAAGCGGCCACTTTAAACCGCCTTTCACATTTGGATCTATCAAAGCTGAATCTATGAATTCTTTAAGATTTTTAATCTCATTCTCGTGGATACAAATCAAAGAACCATGTTTAATATTCTGCATCTCATTTTCTTGAATACTTTAAATGGATTAGATAAAAAAAAAAGTCAACTCACTGAGAGATTGGTTAATGTTTCTTTTGAGTCAATTATCAACCTCATGTCGAGATCTTGATCAAGGCATGATACATCAAGAATTAAGTGTCTCAAAGCATTAAGTTCAGCCTAAAGAAGAAACATGACAAAGCTAAAATGTTAATGTTTGAAAATGTAGGAAAAAAGAAGAGGAAGAAAAAAAAGACATGCCTTGTAGAAATTGAGTCGTTTATGTTGTTGGTCCACCATACATTTACACGAGATGGTTACATCAGGACGAGTTTTGTCTGCTACCTAAAGAAAACAAAAAAACAGAAACCAAACCTCAAAACTTTCGAATGAGAAACACATTTATGAATCTTACAAAAGTAAAACACACCTTTACGTGATACAACTCCTTGGTCTCTTCAACATTAAACCCCATCTTTGGTACAACTCCATACTCGATGTTTTCGACATAAGATTTTGGGACATTCGTTTGAAATGATTTCTTCAAATTTTTCCATTGTGGTTTTCGTTAACGGACCATCTCTTCGAGCTTCGGATAAACTAGCCCTGCACCATATAATACAATGTTTTATAAAGTCATCTAATTCGATCCACTCTCACCACACTAATTTGATACCAAAGAATTACGCCATAAAAGAGACTTGGTTAACTAGAAATTCACAAACCAAGATCCTAAATCAATCAAGAATCCCCGACATCTTCTGCATAAACTTCATGCTAACATGTTAACTCTCTAGCTAACCGACTCAACCATAGTTTCCGATCTGTCAACACCGCTACAATCTACGTACTACAAACCACCTATGGAAATTACAATCACTAGACCAACACAAGGCTTATCAGTCACAACTAAGTCTTCACAATATAATACAC